GAAAGGTTCTTCTTCCACAGTAGATGCTTCCAAAATCCCTGTCTTCAGGGACTAATTCCTCCTCATAACACAGAGTATCTCTATGCTCTCCCCAGCCTTCGACTGCTAAGCCTAAATTCAGACCTTTCTTTGGGCTCAAGACTTTAAACACAAAATCCATCAAGTCTACTTCAAAGACATGGGGAGGCATCTGTTACAGTTTTCCACTGTCTGGGTCCCAGACGTCTCAGACCTGTGGGTTCAATCAGTGGTTTCAAAGGGGTACAAAATAGAGTTCCAAACTCTTCCTCCTCATCACTTTCTTCTCTCAAACAAACCAAAATCTGCTCAAGGACAGTCAGATTTGCAGACCACCCTGAATCATCCAGGAGAAGTTGTTCCAGTACTTCTGGAGGACAGGTGCAAAGGATTCTGTTCAAACCTCTTCATGGTACCAAAGCACAACAGAGGTATTTGTCTTGTCCTGAACCTAAAATGGCTAGAATGAAATCTAGTTCCACAATTTTGTCTGGAATCCACAGAAGAACCTGGTAGACAGACATTCTCAGACTTCTAGATCCCCTGTTCCATCCTATTTCTCATTCACTGGCTTTAAATGCACGGAGACCAAGGTCTTGAGGGACAAAGGGGTCTCTGAGTCTGTCATTCCCACATTGCTAAAAGCAAGGAAAGCCACTTGCAGAAAGAAACTCCTTCTGAAACTCCTTCTTTGCCTGGTTTGAACGTGGGCAGTTCAATCCAAGAGGTTCCCCTGTGCCTCACAATCTGGCTTTCCTACAATCAGGGCTTGACCAGAACTCGCTCTTAAGTACTTTTGTCCTTTCTTTTCCTAATACCTCTGGTTTCCTTTTCCCTTGTAAAGACCTTTTTTCAAGTTGTTTCTTGGATCAAACCACCTTAGGACCTTAATTTTGTTTTGTCTGCCAAGCAGAAACTACCCTTTAAACCCATCAGCGAACTCCCCTTGGATGACGTTTGCTGCAAGGTAGCTTTTTTGGTAGCTATCCCATCAGTTATACAGATCTCTGCGTTAGACCCTCCTTTTTCCCTAAGGTAGTGTCAGGCTTCAACCTCAATTAAGTCCAGTCTTTTTCTTTATTCTACATTCTTCATTGTGTACCTTTCCAAAGCACCCAAAGGTTATTTCTCTTCACTGTCTGGACATGGTCAGAGCCATAATAATCATCATAATAATCATAATTTTCCTCAACGTTACAGCTACTTTTAGGAAAACCGACTCTTTTTTCCTTACCCTCAGGACCTCGCAAGGGATATCTTATCTCAAGATCCACCATTGCTATGTGGGTAAGACAACTAATCACAAGAGCTTACAATTTAAAAGACAAAGCACCTCCTGCACTAACACATGCTCATTTTACTAGTTTGGTAGGCATTTTCTGGACATTCTGACATCACGCTTCTGTTGCCCAGCTGTCTAAGGCCACCAACCTGGTCTTTTGTTTATACCTTTTCTGAGTTTTACCAGGTGGACATCCAGTCTTCTGTGGATGCACTCTAAGTTGGGTCTGTTGACACCTTTTGTTGTTGGGCCTGTTCACACAGTTTTGTTTGCCTTGTTGTTGCCCACCCTTCTTATTCATTGCTTTGAGATTTGAATACCTTGCATTATATGATTAACCAATTCAATACCGGGCAATTTTACACCTTCCTGCCCAGGCCAGTTTTCAGGTTTCAGCGCTCTCACACTTTGAATGACAATTGCGTGGTCATACAACATTGTACCCAAACTAAAATTTTATCATTTTCTTCACACAACTCGAGCTTTCTTTTGGTGGTATTTAATCACCACTGGGGTTTTTATTTTTTGCTAAATTAACAAAAAAAGACCAAAAATTTTGAAAAACAAAAAGTTTTTCTTTGTTTCTGTTATAAAAGTTTGCAAATAAATAATTGTTCTTCATAAATTTAGGCCGAGATGTATTCTGCTACATGTCTTTGGTGAAAATAACCCAAATTAGGATGTATTTTTTAGTTTGTAGGAAAATTATAGAGTTCACAAACTATGGTATAGATCTGAATATTGATCAATCCTGAAGTACTGACAGCCAATCTAATTTCTTGAGGTCCAAGAATGTCAGAACAGTACAGATGTCCCCAAATGACCCCTTTTTGCAAAGTAGACAGTCCGACGTACTTCATAAGAGGCATGCCGAGTTTTTTGAAGCTGTATTTTTTTTGTCATTTTTCGGAAAATTAAAAAATTTAAAAAATTTGTTTCACTATTTATTTTTTTTTTACATATTGTCACCAGTGCAGTACAGCATCATCATATAACTGGCATGGCGGTGATCAGGGACACTGACTGGTGACAGTATGAAAAAAAAAATTTTTTTTTTTTTTTTTTTTAAGATTTTTTTTTTTTATATTTCACTATGACCAAAGTAGTACAATGTTACCATAGTAACATTGTACTACTTTGGTGAAGTGATCAGTATTTTTTTATTTTTTATTATTTTTTTTTTGCAATTTGCTCATAGCAAAGAATTACTTTGCTAGAAGCAAGCATTTACCTGAATGACATCGATTCATTCAGGGGTTTTTTTTTTTTTTTTTTTGTGCTTGGCTGTGATTTGGCCACAGCTAATCACATGACATGTGCATGTGATTAGCTGTGACCATTCACAGCTAGGCAGTAGTATACAATGGATGGCATGAATGAAACCATCCATTGTATACAACTGTCATGCGGCCTGCCGTGATTGGTCACAGCAGGTCACATGGTACTGGCAACGGGGCCGATACTCAGATCTGTCATCGGCCGTGTCCGTGTGATTAAGATTAAATGAATTTCGAATTGCCTGTAAATTTCATATCTTGGAGTACAGTGCAGAACACAGGCCTCCCTTCCTTCTGTTCTTGTGGTGTTTTGCATTATTTGCTGCTAAACTGAGAACTCACAGTGGGGTAGGGTTACAGAGGGACATCCAGGGGTCCTGTCCTCCAAAGCTTTTCCAGTGTCTGACCACCTGAAGGTACCAGTTCATAACAGGGTTATAGATCTTCTTTTCCTGAGGGAGGGAGGGGGGGTTCAGCCTTGGGTACCCAGAGAATAAAAATGTGCATGCCATCTTGTGACAAATGATGGGTGTGGCAAATTGCGCTAAAAGTGGAGCTTAAAACATGATCCTACTCACTGTGTACACGAAGACAAATGCCACAGTCCCTGTACCCAATAAATATGCGTTAAAAACTTTGCTACAAGCAAAAGTCTAACAGACATGTACAAACCTCAGAAGGATTTTTAAAATGTGAAACTCTACCACTGCATTTGCTTTTCTGCATACAGCCAGCCTACCTTGAAGAAGAACTTAATTAACAGTGACCACTGAGCAAACACCATCTGTTGTACAATATGGCATAAATAATGCAGGGGTCAGGATATGTCATATACAGCCTAATACATGCAATCCCCGTTAGGCAGATCTCTGCTAGCAGCAGCAAATCCCTTTGATGGGCAAACAAGTATAAAACAAATAAAGGTGGCCAAAGGGTTTTCACCACACCAATGCTGCAGATGACCTCCTGTTGGCGATCAATCTCCCATATTCTTTCCTAACCAAGTGAGAGGAAGCCAGCAGTGTTCTGGGTCTCTCTCTCAAACCTGACGTCCACATGATCCTCTGGCTCAGAAGTCCATTCCCAATCATGTAGGCTGGATGGAGGTGGAGCAACAGGCCACACTATCCCTTTAGCACAGCAGAGAGTTTAAAGCCTAATTCCATGTGACTTTAAATAGTTTGAGCCAAGCAGGTCCAAAAGAACTATTTCCTTTACGAATAGATGTGCCCACTGTCAGCACTGTATAATCTGTATGTAGCATTAACTACATAAAATATACAGTTCTGGAACTTCCCATACCTCTCCCAGAACCAAATCGAGTGGACCTGAGTGCTAAAAGAACAAAAAAACATCGCTCTAGGTCGGTTCCCTCTTCCACTACTATACACACTCTAAATCCCAGCTGTTGGCCCTGTCTGCAGCAGACTCCAATATACAAACAAACATCCAATGGCTGCATCTCAGCCATTCACAGGAAGCTTTGCATTTTATCAACAAATACAAAGCTTCCTCTGACTGTCTCACAGCAGAGATTGATGTTATCTATCCATCTTCGTCAATTAGAGGAAGCATTGTATTCATTGATAAACTGCAAAGCTCCCTGTGAATGGCTAAGCAGTGCTCAGCCTGACTTGATTTTGTTCTGGGAATTCAGTGGGAAGTCCCCATCCTGCTGCCACAACACAACACTGTATACTGTTTTTAGCTGATGCTACATACACTTTATACAGTGCCCCAAGCAGGCACATACACTATATTACCAAAAGTATTGGGACGCCTACCTTTATACGCACATGAACTTTATTGGCATCCCAGTCTTTGTCCGTAGGGTTCAATATTGAGTTGGCCCACCTTTGCAGCTATAACAGCTTCAACTCTTCTAGGAAGGCTGTCCACAAAGTTTATTAGTGTGTCTATGGGAATGTTTGACCATTGTTCCAGAAGTGCATTTGTTAGGTGAGGCACTGATGTTGAATGAGAAGGCCTGGCTCGCAGTCTCTGCTCTAATTCATCCCAAAGGTGTTTTATCAGGTTGAGGTCAGGACTGTGTGCAAGCCTGTCAAGTTCCTCCACCCCAAACCTTCTCATCCATCTTTATGGGCTTTGCTTTGTGCACTGCTGTGCAGTCCTGTTGGAACAGGAAGGGGCCACCCCCAAACTGTTTGCACAAATTTGGGAGCATTAAATTGTCCAAAATGTTTTGGTATGCTGATGCCTTAAGAGTTCCCTTCACTGGAACCAAGGGGCCAAGCCCAACCCCTGAAGAAAAACCCCACATCATAATCTACCCTCCACCAAACTTTACACTTGGCACAATGCAGTCAGGCAAGTACCGTTTTCCCAGCGACCGCCAAGCCCAGACACATCCATCAGATTGCCAGACAGAGAAGCATGATTCCAGGGAATGTGTCTCCACTGCTCTAGAGTTCAGTGTTGGCTTACTTTACATCACTGCATCCGGCACTTTGCATTGCACTTGGTGATGTAAGGCTTGGATGCAGCTGCTAGGCCATGAAAACCCATTCTGATGATGCTCTCTCTGTACTATTGTTCTGCTAATCTGAAGGCCACACGAAGTTTGCAGGTCTTTAGCTATTGACTCTATAGACAGTTGGCGACTTCTGCGCACTGTACGCTTCAGCATGCTCTGACCCGCTCTGTCATTTTACGTGGCCTACCACTTTGTGGATGAGTTGCTATTGCTCCCAGTTGCTTCCACTTTGTTATAATACCACTAACAGCTGACTGTGGAATATTTAGTAGCAAGGAAATTTCACTGATGGACTTATTGCACAGGTGGCAACTTATCATGGTACCACGCTTGAATTCACTGAGCTCCTGACAGTGACCCATTCTTTCTCAATGTTTGTAGAAGCAGTTTACATACCTAGGTGCTTGATTTTATACACCTGTGGTCATGGAGGTTTTATACACCTGTGGTCATGGAGGTGATTTGAACACTTGAATCCAATACTTTTGGCAGCTGACTGTGGAATATTTAGTAACAAGGAAATTTCACTGATGGACTTATTGCACAGGTGGCAACTTATCATGGTACCACGCTTGAATTCACTGAGCTCCTGAACGTGACCCATTCTTTCTCAATGTTTGTAGAAGCAGTTTACATGCCTAGGTGCTTGATTTTATAAGCAAGTGTCAGTTAGGCTTTAATGTCTAGTTTCTGAAAAGGTCAGTCTGTCAGATGCTTTGCAGAAGGGATCTTCTTTATATTTTGGGCAAGGCTGCTGGCTAATTGGTGTGTCTGAGGTTGCTCTGGCCCAGACTCTGCTGCTGCTTCCATGTGTTTTCCCTTCCACAGCTACTCTCTCCCTGGCTCCCACTCCTTATGCCTTACCTGGGTGTGCACACAGCACTCTCTTGTGGTCCTCTCAACCCACACAACTTCTCCTGTACGGCAGGCTGCTTGCTCCCCAGTCCCTGCAGACTCCCTCCAGCATTCTCTCCTGCCTGTTGGACCCATTAATAAACTCTACTTTCTCAAGCTTTTGCGCCCCACTTTCTTATTTCGGGGCCAAATCAGGCTACTGATGCAGCGAATCTGAGTTCTCCTCTCCCTCCGCACTGTTCTATCAGCAGGGCTGACACATAATCTAGAGTGGGTGACTGGGGACAAAGAGAAGGCAAATTTATTAAATACCACCTTCAGCTCTGTGTATACAAAGGAGCACGGGGGAGCTCTTGTCCTTAATGGGCATGGTATTGACACAGATCCAGATGATCCACATTGGATCACAATGGATATGATCCAAAAATATTTAGACAGAATAAAGGCAAATAAAGCATCTGGACCGGATGGCATACACCCACAGGTCCTTAAATAATTGAGCTCTGTCATTTCAAAGCCATTGTTTCTAATTTTTAGGGACTCGTTAATGACTGGCATAGTACCACTGGATTGGCTTAGGCCAATGTGGTGCCAATATTTAAAAAGGGGTCAAAATCTTTACCAAGTAGTTATAGACCTGTTAGTTTAACGTCTATAGTTGGGAAGATATTGTAGAGTTTAATAAAAGACCACATAGATGAATTCTTGTTGGAAAATAATATTTTAAGCAACAGACAGCATGGATTCATGAAAGACCGAAGTTGTCAAACAAATCAGATTTTTTTTATAAGGAGGTGTGCAAAACATTGGACAGAGGGGTGGCAGTGAACATGGTATACTTGGATTTTGCAAAAGTGTTTGACACAGTACCCCACACATGGCTAATGTGTAAGGTAAAGTCTACAGGCTTGGAAAAATCCATATGTAAATGGATAGAAAACTGGCTAAAAGATCATATTCAGAGAGTAGTGGTTAATGATTCATACTCTGAATGGTCTAGGGTTGTTAGTGGTGTACCTCAAGGTTCAGTGTTGGGACCCTTACTTTTTAATACATTTATAAACGATATAGGGTCTGGGATTAAAAGTACCATTTCAGTCTTTGCTGATGACACCAAGCTGTGCAGTGCAATAACGTCCTTACACAATGTCTTCAACTTACAAGCTGATCTCAATGCGCTGTTTAATTGGACAACTATGTGGCAAATGAGGTTTAATGTTGATAAATATAAGGTTATGCACTTGGGGGATACAAATATGCATGCATCATACATACTAGGGGGGGTACAGCTGGCATAATCAGTGGTGAAGGATCTGGGAGTTCTGGTAGATCACAAGCTTAATAATGGCATGCAATGCCAAGCTGCAGTTTCTAAAGAGTTGGGTCTGGCTAGCTCAGTCTCAATGGATTGCTTTAAAAAAAGGTCTGGATTCTTTCCGAGATACACAGAATATAACTGGTTACTCACATTTATAGGTAAAGTTGATCCAGGGAATATCTGATTGCCTCTCAGGCTGTGGGGGTTGTTTGCCTTCCACTGTGGGTATAGGATTATAAAAAAATTTTAATGGTTGAACTGTATGGACTTTTGTCTTTTTTCAGCCAGACTAACTATGTAACATTAGGGCCCTGTACAGAATACCAGGCAGGGCCTCCTCTTGGACAAAGAAAAAGATGGTGAGTGGGTGTGCCCCATTACATTACCACTGGGAGGAGATTAAAACTTAGGCCTACATACAGAGTGCAGGCATCAGAAGTATCTTATATATAGAGTGTAGCTGTCAGATGTATGTAATGTACATTGTTCAGGGCTCATGAATGGGTAAGGCACAGGAATGTGTAATGTTCAGAGTGTACAGGTCAGGAATATGTAATGTACAGAGCTCAGGGGTTAGGAGTGCATAACACACAAAATGCATGGTCATCTATTGGTCTTTAAAGGCTCAGTGCTTGCAGACATACATTTTATTATTATTATAATACAGGATTTATATAGCGCCTACAGTTTGCTCCGCACTTTACAATATAAAGGAAGACAATACAGCAACGATACAGTTCAATACAAGAGGGTTAGGAGGGCCCTGCTCCTTGGAGCTTACAATCTAAGAGGAAGGGGCTGGTGGTACAAAAGGTAATAACTGTGGGGGATGAACTGATAGGAGGAATAGAAGATTTCATTATTAGCGGAAGGCGGAATAGGCGTCCCTGAAGTGATAGGTTTTCAGAGATTGCCTAAAAGTGGGCAGAGTAGGTGATAGTCGGATAGATTAGGGTAGAGCGTTCCAGAGGTTGGGGGAGGCTCTGGAGAAGTCCTGGAGACGACCATAGGAAGAGGAGACAAGGGAGCTAGAGAGCAGGAGGTCGTGTGAGGAGTGGCAGGACGGTTTGGGTGATATTTGGAGACAAGATTGATGATGTAATTTGGGGCAGCGTTACAAATGGCTGTATATGTTATTGTTAATGTTTTGATTTTTATTCATTGGGCAATGGGAATCCAGTGGATGGATTGACAGAGAGAGATGGCAGATATGGAACGGTCAGTAAGGTGGATGAGTCTGGCAGCAGCATTCATGATTGACTGAAGAGGGGATAGCCTGAGATTAGGTAGGCCAATGAGGAGGGAGTTACAATAGTCAAGGTGACAGATAAAAGGGAGTAAATGAGTTGCTTAGTGGTTTGAGGTTAAGAACGGGCTTATCTTGGAGATGTTGCAGAGGTGAAGTCTACATGATTTGGACAGTGATTGGATTTGGGGCTGAAAGGACAGATGGGAGTCTAGGATTACACCTAGTACATTGGCATGGGGGGGAGGGACTGATGGTTGTATTATTGATCTAGATGGAGAAGTCAGGGTAGGGGGCATGGACTAGAGGGAATAGTATGAGCTCTATTTTGGAAAGATTTAGTTTGAGGAAGTGGAGTGACATCCATGCCGATATGTCACTTAGTAGGTTAGTAATGCGAGAGGAGATTGTAGGGGTGAGGTGAGGAGTAGAAAGATAGATTTGTGTGTCATCAGCATAGAGATGGTATTTAAAGCCATGGGAGTTTATCAAGTGACCAAGTGAGGAGGTGTAGATGGAGAAGAGGTCTAAGGACAGTACCTTGAGGGACCCATACAGAAAGAGGAAGTGGAAAAGAGGAGACAGAGTTATAGGTAACGCTGAAGGAGCGCTGCGATAGGTAGGAGGATAACCAGGAGAGGGCAGATTCTCGGAGGCCAAGAGAGTGGAGTTTTTTGAGGAGGAGGGGATGGTCAACAGTATCAAAACCACAGAGAGGTCAAGTAGTATGAGTACGGAGTAGTAGCCATTAGTTTAAGCCGTTGGTAAATAATTAGTGCGTTTTAGTTGGGTAGTTTAAGTGGAGTGAAGAAGGTTATTGTCAGTGAGGTAGGAGCTCAGGCGATTGTAGACTAAGGCTGACCATACATTATACCAGTTTCTTGAGATTTTTTGCTTTAGATTTACCAAAAACCATATAATATGAGGTCAAACCTAAACAACACTTTCAGTTGTATCCAATCAGGCAGGCCCTAGTACTACACAGTTGAAGGTAAATCCAAAGGAAAATTGGGCAGAAATTGGATAGAAAATTTTATAGTGTATGGCCAGCTTTTGCATTCTAAGAGTTTAGAGGTAAACGGGAGCAGGGAGAGGGTTCTTAAGTTGTTCAGGTTGGTGGGGTCCAGCGAGGGCTTTTTAAGTATGGGAGTCATCTGTGCATGCTTAGAGGGGTGGGGAAGGCACCTTTAGAGAGGGAGAGATTGAAGATGTAAGTGAGGAAGCATAGGACAGAAGAAGAGGGTGACCGCAGTAGTTGTGAGGGTACAGGATCCAGGGGAGCAGGTGGTGAGACGGGCTTCTGAGAAAACTTTAGTGACCTCTTCAGTAGTAGCAAGGTCAAAAGAGGAAAGTGTTGAGGGAGGTTTAGTATAAGGTATGCTAAGTGGGATAGATGTTTGTGTAGCAGAGATGCCCCTATGAATTGCATCAATCTTGTTTTTGAAATGATTTGCAATGTTGTAAGCAGTGAGTGAGTTGCTGGGTGGAGGTGGAGAAAGTAGAGAGATAAAAGAAGAGACGACGAGGACTGGATGACAAGGTATTAATAAGAGTGACAAAGTAGGCTTGTTTGGCAGCATTGAGGGAGGAATTGTATGTTAAGAAAGCAGATTTATATAGGGTGAATGCTTGCAGAGATTTGGTTTTACACCATAATCGCTTCAGTGCATGATTATGTCACTTAAGATTTCTGGTGTCGTCAGTGCCACGGTTGTAATGGTCGGGGCCTGATACTCCCTGTAGTTAGAGGAGCAAGTTAGTCTAGTGTGGATGAAAGTGAACTGTTGTAGACAGCAGTGGCCAGGGCAGGACAAGGGGGAGAGATTCTGTCATAGAGGCGGTCAGTTTCAGAGTGGAAAAGAGAAGGGTTAAAGTTGTGAAGGTTTCTGCAGGTAATTGTGTGATGTTTGGAGGGATAAGTGTTTGAAGACGAGGACACTGTGAAGGTGATGAGATTGTGATCAGAGAGAGGAAT